AGGGGAAGAGAGGATGAGAAATGTCTTAGCTTCCACCTTGGGTTATTAAATGAACTGCGGCTTCATTCACTAAATGAATAAAATTAGTCTTGTTTTGACCACTAGGAAGCTCAGAGCCAAATATTTGGCCTATTTCTAACATACGGCAAGCATTTACGTGCAGCCTGTGAATCTAAACTTTATTTTCCTTCTCTTTTTAAAATTTATTTATTAGAGAGAGAGAGAGGAGAGGGAGAGAGAGAATCCCAAGTAGACTCCCCACTGAGTGTGGAGCCTGACCCTGGGCTTGATCTCATGACCCCAAGATCATGACCTGAGCCGAAATCAAGTTGGACTCTTAACCGACTGAGCCACCCCGGCGACCCTATTTTCCTTCTCTTCACAGGCTTTTATCTGTACTTGGTAAGTCACCCTTAATTATTTTTAAATGAGGCAGAAAATAAATCAACAGATTAAGAAAAGATTGAGACCAAGCCAGAGATAGCTGGACAAAGTAGCTGGCTCAGGGATATAACCTGTAGGCTGCCAGCCCAGAGCATTCTCCTCACTGCTCCTCTACCCTAGCAAAGGCCACATCTCACAAAAGCAGCTGAAAAATGCCAGACTTCCACTTTTTCAACCTTCCTTACAAGTAGCAGTGCCATGAAATCAGTTCTACCCAATGAAACTGAAGGGGAAGTCTCCAAGGTGACCTTCTATAAGACTCCTCTCTCTGCTAAGAGGGAGTTGTAAGAAAATATCCTTCCTTCCTTCCCTGTCTCACATAGGCATGATGTCTGGGGCCACAGCAACCACATTGCCAACATGAAGCAATGAGCCTGAGGCTTTCCATAAGCCAAATACTAAAAATAGAGGAATAAAAGGATGGAAAGAGCCTAAAGTCTTCAAGCACATCATTCAGACACCGTACCACCCTTACAACCATCTATTCTCTACACTTCTTGCTACTGGACAATAATAAATTCTATTATTTATGCCATTTTTAGTTGTGTATTGTTACTTGCCAATAATGGATACAACACAGTCAAATCATGAGGTCAGTTTCTGACAGACTGACTTTTATTCTGCTGAGTTAACAAGATTATTCTTGAGATGAGAAAATGCAAACATGTATTATTAGTCAGGAAAAAAGCAGTAAGCTATAAGCTGCTGGAAGCAGCTACAGATAAAAACAGAAAAGGATGTAATGATAAATAATTATTTGAAAAAGCATGATCAAGTATTGACAGGGGCACTGCTTGGAGGCAGGAACAAAGGAAGGAAACAGTAAATGTATAGAAGTCCCCTAAGATGGAGAAATTGAGGGAGACTTTCTTTTCTGGCAATGTTATAAACAAGATAACCTAAAAATCCTTCCCAATATAAAACAGAGAAAAAATTCTGGGTAAAGTATAAGAAACGTCTGTTTAAATGCATAGCTAAGCTCACATGAAAATAAGGAATGTCCCCAAAGGGAAAAATCAAAGAGGACCCTAAAATCCACAGCATAAAGTAGAAGCTGATCATGTTTAGAAACCTAGGGTTTCTAAAGGGGCTGGAGGAGAGGGGGACTGTGTGCATGTAAAAGGTACCTACCCTTTGGGATGTAACAAAAATAAAAAGGGAAAGAAATTACTGGCCTAATATTTTCTTTAAAACACTATCTTGAAGACAATTATAACTCTTGTTTTCACCTTGGACACTTTACGTTTTATATGAACAAATTCCGCATTAAGTGCATATTTTAAAAAACATGTCCATATTACATATTTACATATCACAAAGGGCTTCCTGAATATTTCATCAATAAGATTAAGTAAAACATAAGATGGACAGAAATCTTTTCCTGAAAAAAACCATACATCACCCAATTTTTCGGCCACAATTTAATCACTAATCATTTAATCAAGTTCAGTATATTTGTAACTATACTAAAAGGTTTCCAAATTTTAGGACTTTTTGGTAAAATTTTATCATTAGGGTCATTATAACATTCTTCCAGTGACTATGCGACCAAGAGTTTCATAATACCTTATGTATCATATAAAAATAGTGTTATCTCTGAGCTAATCTTATAGCCCTCTACACAACAGATTCTGCAATGTACAAATTCAGTATATAAATGGTAATGGGAACTGGCAAAGGATATGGTGTTTGGGGCATCTACAGACTTGAGAGGATGGTCTCTAATATAAAAGAGGCAAAGAGAAAAGAATTACAGCCCCAGCTAAAAACAAAAACCTCTTAAGGTCGTCCACTGAGTTTACGTTCTGCTAGCCTCATTTGCTTCCCACGTTCCCTTGAAAACTGAAAACATCCTATATTCCCTTTGCTCATCTTCATACTGGCTTTATGAATGGGCACAGTTCCACCCTAAATTCCATTAAGCCGCCTCCATCATTCAATTCATTTCAAGACCATCTTTCAAAAAGTCCTATCTTTGGGCAGTTCAAACAGCCCAGGAAATACAAACACATAATCCATGTTATCTTCACAAGGGTTACATGGGTCTCCACTACATTCCCAGATTTACCTAAGACGAAATCTTTTAACCTACTGTTTACATACACTAGATGCCACAATACAGTATCCTAAACTCTGCTTTAGACTGTGCTGCATCTTGAATGTTTCTCCAAGCCTACGTGCTAGATGGTAAAAGACTAAGCATTTACTCTACAAATAAGGCCACCAAATGCACGGGGAAGTAATCAACTCAGGAATCAAGAACCCAAGTGTGAAAGGACTGCGTTTGGCTTGGTTCTCCCCCTCCCGCTGACACAGGGAGAAGGTCCAGTGAAACGCTCCAGTCCCAGGGGACGAGAGAGGCTCCCAAGAGCACGCTATGGTCCGCTGGGAATAAAGCACGAGTTAGCAGAGCCGGGAGGCTCGGAGGGGCGCGCTGCATTCTGGGACTCGTTTCCACAGTTACCCACGTGCACCCAACCCAACCGCGGCCCCGCGCGGCGCGGACTACAAGTCCCAGAATTCCGCGCGACCGCCTTTCCCCTTCACACCCGGCCACTGGAGCCAGACCCTAAAGGAAACCCCTAAAGCGTCCTTCCCGCAAGCTTGGCAGAGGTCGCGCCCCGCGAGCGCTTATGCGGGGCCTCTGGCCCGGCCCTCCCTGCAGGGAAGCGGGTCCCTAGGCACCAGCGTCCACACCTGACGACCAGAAATTAGACAACTGCGTCACAGACTGCCAATCCCACGGACTGCCTGGGACCCCAACACCTCCCCTGCGCAAAACCCCCCACCCGGTCTCCAGGGCCCGACCCCTCCGGATCCCGCCGCGGAAAACCCGCAGCCCGCATCCCGGCCCCGCCTCCCAGTCCCGCAGCCGGAGCCCGCGCCAGCGCTGACCTCGCTTCCCGCCGCTCTGGGGGAACCGCGGCCAGCGCCAACCTCAGGGCACCTCCCCGCCCCCTCCACCTCAGCCCCGCCCCCTCCACTCCCCGCACCCCGAAGCTCAGGGCTCCCCCTTCCACGGACCCTGTCTTGATCGTGGGGAGAGAACACCTCCCAGAAAACATAGTCTGACACCTTCCCCCCCCCCCGAGCCCCGCGCGGACCGAATCTGGACTTGACAGTCCTCCCCCTGCCCTGGCCCCTCCCAACCCCCCCTTTCCTCCCAACTAGCTCTACACCCCCACCGCACCTCCTCTACCCCTGCCCCCATCCTGTCACCCCAAACCCTCCCCTCCTTCTCCTCCTCTCACTCCCAATTACCCTCTCTTCCCAACACCTGCTCAATCCTATTACCCCAACGTCTGCCCCCTCTCACCACTCCCAGTTACCCCACCACCCTTCCTATGCCTCTCCCGCCCGCCGGACTCCCCAACTATCCCATCACACCCCAATCCCTCCCACCACCTCGCTCTCCCGTTACATCAGCCCTCATCTCCGTGCCCGCCCTCCTGCCCCACTCGGCCGCTACCCCCATTCCCCCACCGCATTGTTCCCCCCCCACCCCCGCCATCCAGCCCTTCTTCCCATTGTCCCCGCCCCCGCGCTCCCCTCGCACTCACCCGCCTTTCTCACGGAGCCGCCCGCACCGCTCAGCCCCTAGGAAATCCTCACCCCTGCGCCCCGCTCGCTCGCTCCCTCTCTTTCTGCCCGCGCCGGTGCCACCCCCGGCCCTGCCCGCTAGCGCCCGCCGCCGCCTCCACCTCCATTCACCCCAGGCACTCCGGTCCCAGCCCTTCATCGCACGTCCCGCCCCCCCTGCCCCCAACACTGAAAAGGAGCCAGTCCCCACCCCCCTCACCTCCGCCCTCCCCCGGCAGGCCAGCCCCTTCCCCCCCCACGCCCGCCCCCGCGCCACCCGCAGCGTCACCGCCCGCCCCGGCCCCGGGAGGGGAAGGGGTGGCTCCCGGGCAGGGGCTCCCGGCGCGTTTCGGGACAGGAGGCGGGGGGCGGGGACTGCGGGAACGGAGTGGAGAGTGTTGGCAACCGCCCGGCCCCGGCCCGCTCGCTCTGTTACTCACTGACAGCGGCGGCATCCGAGTGCATTTTCGGGCAGCTCACACCCCACTCGCCGCCCAGGCTCCCGCGCTCGCCTCGCGGTCCCCCCACCGGCTCGCCGCACCTCGGCTCGGAGCTGAGGACCAGCAGCCAGCACACCCGGCCCGCCCACCTCGGCTCCAACCATTGGCTGAACCTCGGTTGAGGGACCGCCCCTCCGCGTCTCTCATTTGACAAAAGGAGTGCGGAGGGCGCCGGTCTGGAGCTGGCAAAGAGGCCCCGCCCCCCGAAGTCCAATGCGATTGGCCCGGCGCCTCGTCCCCGTAACGCCCCTGGCGGAGGCCACGGTCCAGAGCAGCAGGTTGGACCCGGCTGCTGTCACTCATCCCCGGGGGTCCGAGAGCGCGTGTAGGGGCGAGGCTGGGGAATTGGTCCACCTTGACCCTGAAGCCCCGCCCCGTCACGGGCGGGATTGGTGGAGCTGCAGACCAACCGAGAAAGATGGGTCGGCTTCTGAAACAAAGCACGCGTGGTGTTCCGCGAAGAGCCGAGAAGGGAAAGCACCGTTGGGGCAGTTGTGTCCCACTACAAGGAGTAGGGGAGTCCCCCCCTACTTGGGTCTCCCACTTGTCTCGCATGCCTCAGAGCGGCTCTCAGCAGGAGCCCAGTCCGCGCCGAACTTGGACTGGGACTTCTCTTGCTAGGTGTTCCCTACTACAGGAAACTGGATAAAGAATCGCCGTGTCCTCGTTTCCAGCAAACCCTCGGGTGAGGAACAAATTCCCATTTCTTGTACAACAATTACATCCTCTCTCCGTTTTCGAAACGTTCATCTCTTTCAGAATCACCACACTTCTATCCCCTTGGTCAAAAGTGGGCTGTCCTAAAGGCTTCGAGTGCTACCGGCATTGTCCGTCATACACACATACGCCCCACACAGGATACAGGAAATTAGGGCCCTGACGCTAAGAGGGCCTCATTTGGCTGTTACTTGAAAAAGAGGGTGTTAATTTAAGTGAATTCTTAGGACCTTGAGTTTCCTAAGGCAGGAATTCGCACCATTTTCACGAGTTGCAGCCACTTTTTTCAATGCTTTCCAACCAACTCATCACACTTAACCATAATGTAGCAGAATAATATTTTGAGATATTTAGGGAGGATAGCCCCCTCCTACCCCAATGACAGGACACCTACACCACTTACCTGTATTCCAAGGCCCTACCCCAACCTACAGCGAAGAGCATTACACACCCCCTCAAGGAACAGGATTACACCACAAACAAAACATCGGTCATTTGGTTTTAGATTTCTTCAGCCAAGGCTTTTGAGTTTCAGGGTTCTGAAATTTACGTTTCAAGTCGGGATAAATGTCACGCCAAAACCAGTATATTTTGAAAGAACAGGATCAAACCAGTTCCTCTTACACCACTCCTGTTGTAGTATACTCCATCCCTCTTAATCCCTAATGTCTCATGGGTAAATTACTTCCTTATAATTTTATATCTGTCGTGTTTCTATCATTCAAATATTTATGAAACACTTCGCCTAATCATAGAATCTCAGAATTGACCTGAATTTATCCACTTTAGGTTTCAAGATTCTCGTCCATATTGGTGACCTTTAACCTGACAGGTCTGTCAGCTGGGCCTCACAGAGATGGGTAAGTACCTCTGGACTCTGAAATAGGCCATTCCTTGTTGGGCGGATCTAATTCTAAGAAAGTCCCTCCTTACTCGAAACTGAAGAGCAGCTCCTGCATTCTTTATCCCGTCTACGTTTTCAGCCTATCATTATCTAGGAAGTAATAAATTACATAGAACTTACACAAATCATAATATTTTATATATATAATATTCTGCAGATATCACCCCATCATTTTAATAATCCACAAGACTATAAACCTTTGAGGGCAGGAATTTTCTTGTATTTATCTTTATGTCCCTAGCATCTAGTACAGTGCTTTCAAATAATAGGCACTCCTTAATTGTTCCTTAAAGTGAACTGAATGTTGACTATAATGTGAAATTTTAGATCTGGGAGAAGCCTTGGGAAAATCCAACTTCCTCATTTTAAGAATATGAGAGTTGAGGTCCAATGGAGTTAAATGTCTAATCCAAGTTACTCAACTAGTAATAACAAAGCCATAACTAAACTCAGGTTTTTCAACTCCTAGACCAGGTCTTTCCTCCTGTACCAGTATCAAAGCTTCAAACTCCGAAGATGGGGAAAGTACTCTTCCTTGCCATTTGAGAGTTTTTACAGCCATCTAATACAAATTCTGTACTTCATAGCTGGAACACTGCCTTCTTTTTCATGAAATTCAACAGGAAATTTTTTCAATATGTAATAGAACATTTAACTTTTTTCTAAATGGTACCATCTCCAAATAACTTGATCTCCATGGGGATGTTTACTGAGGTAATAATGTTACACTTCTGTGCCTTTATATTCAGATCCTTGGGGGGGAAATTAGTGTCTTGGGACTGTGTTGGTAGAGTAAAACTTTTCCCCAAATTCCACACATCCCACCATAGCATGCTTTTCTGCATGTGTTGGGGATGGGGCTACAGAGTGGAGAATGGCATAGTCCTAAGACTGAAATAAACTTGGGCCTGCTTAGACAAATAGATAAATATGCCCCTGATAAAATTGGAAGAGAATCGGAAAGAACTCATGTCAGGGAGGAATTAATTCAGCCTCAGACTGCAGTGAAAGAGTATGTAGAACTCCTCTAGTTATCAAAAGACAGGCTAGTTGGGATTACATGGAAACAAACAAACCAAAAAAAGTAAATATATCAGTAGAGGTCAGGATAGTTTATTTCTTCAAACTCATAACCAACTGACAGTTTGCTAATCCAAATGACAACAACTTTTTGTTGTTGTTGCTTCCCATGTGGTAGGCGTTACTCTTACAGTGCTTTGCTTGTTAAAGTATTCCACCTAACCTCACAACACTCCAAGGAGGGTACTAATATTATCCCCAATTTACAGGTAAGTTAACTGAGGTTGAAACCGTTCAGTATCTTGCCACCTAGCTAATAAGGAATCGTGTCCCTACGTGGTCAAACTCCCTGTGTTATAATGTTCCCTCTCTTCTTAATCAGGTTAATGTACGCCCTCCATACCTGAGAGGTTTATTCAGAAGGATACAATGATATATGGAGGTGAATCTGTTTTTAAAAGATGGTGAAACCTGGCCTCTTTCTAGAATTGAGTATGTAGACACTCAGGCTGCCTTGGTAGATATATATTATGAAAAATACAAGTCTGAAAGATGATTTCCAGGTTACTCCATCCTTATCTATTTTATCCTTTTTGACCTTATTTCAATAGCAACTATTGACTTCATGGTATATTATTAATGAGATTATTTATCTAGAGTATCTAATGAGGCTCTGCTGAATATAATGCGTTCCCTACTCTGATAGATCAGTGGGTGGAGGCAGCCTCTTCAGCCTTCTGGAATGAACCTTTTAACTATTGAGGACTGTGCTACTGGGAAACAGTTTCAGCTCTTAAGCTTTGAATTTCATAAGAATGCCACCTTAACTTATGGTGCTTTTCACATATATACATAGAACAGTTTTGCAATAGCCACTTACCAAATGCTCATAGGTAATAAAAATGTAGGTTTTGTTTTTCAATACCTGTACATAGTCATGCCCCAATTACTAGGTTAATGGAAAAAGCGCAGAAGTAGACATTTTCCTCCATTGTCACCAACAGGGACAGTCTCCTCAAACTGGTTATGATTAAAAAGCTGAAAAGATGGCATCGTTTGCCATATATCTTGTTCACTACACTTTTTCTTTCATCCGCTTCCTTTTCCCCTGCCCCTCTTATGCTAGAGGTTAGAACACTGAAAATGACACACAAGAAAGTGACCTCTTTCTAATCACTCCAGGTTACTTTGTAGAATTGATATCCTGTCATGTGCGTTTATAATGTACATTAAAAGGTCTTCCTTTTTTTTTTTCATCAACCTCTGTTGGGGCAATAATGTAACTCCCACAAAAAAAAAAAAAAAAAGAGGGAGAGAGACCATAAGAGATGGAACTTTCTGGAACCAACTCTACACTGGGCATTTTTAGCCATGGCAGCACTTTTGACTTTTTTTTCTGAAGCAGAACATAGGCTTAATCCAGATGGCTTGGATTAAAAACCCATTGGCTTAAGAAGTCAATCCACCACCGAAGACAAATTATTTCACATCTCTGTGTGTCTTGGTTTCCTCATCTGCAAAATAGTGAAAATAATAGGAACTACCTTCTAGGTACGTTGTGAGAAATAAGTGAATGAGTAAGTATCAGTAAAGCACATAAAAATACCTGGCTCCATACCTATTAGCTGCAGTACTCATCGTATTCTTGAATCAACCCTTCCCCCTCACAGCCAGCTTGTCATCACAAATCCTTCTTTTCCTCTAAGCTGGTCCCTGACTCCACAGTCACTATGTCTTATTAACTTGGCTTCCTTTCTCCTTTCTAGAGTTTACAGTGAACAGTGAGTTAGGGACAAAAGCATTCTTCACCAAGACATGCCACCAATGTGAAATTAGCATAGTTTGAAACTGAAATGTGAGACTTTACACAATAAAGAAAAAAAATGAGTACCCAGTATCAACGCTGTGTCATTCAAACTCTCTGAAAACTAGCTTAATGGAAATTGATTACTACTGGAAGTTCAGATGTACATAAGAAATTCTTAAACAATTAAACAGATTGTAGTAAACTACAGGGGATTCTACATAAATAGAAGCACATATTGAGTTCCCATAGCGACTAATTTCTCTTTCTTGTCCTTTGAAGTAATATTACCCTTCCCTGAGTGCCACAGATTTTTAATCTACTATACCAGAGGCAAAGTGTCTTCAGGTATTACCCTTGGGCCAGCCTGGAATAAGATGCAGACCCTCCTACTTAAGCAGGCATTAAACTTGTCTGGGCCTTCATTCCTCCATCTACAAACATGGGAATAATATCTTCAAGGGATAAATATGATAAAATATGTACAAGCATTTATAAAAGTGGGAGAGAGAAGCAGGAATAAATGCATGAGCACCAATTATGTGATGCTTTCACATATTTCCTTGTGAACTTCATGCAGTCTTGTGAAGTACAGTTGGCTAATTTTTATGCTTGGGGCTATTTCAAGTAAAAATGAGTCTGTGTTTTTAAGTTATCTAGAAAATCCGGGTTTCCTTCTTTATGAAGCTGCCATTTTAGGGATCTCTCAGAAAAGCTAAGAATTTTCCAATTCTGCTGGGATTTGATATCAGTGTTTCAATTTCAATTTCAATTTCTTTCTTTTTTTTTTTTTGTGCTAATCTTTTTCTCCAGCATACTTAAACTGGCACTTTTCTTTTCTTTTTTTTTTTACCCAGGGCCTTTTATTTTTTGGAAATCACACCTGCCTAGGGATTTAACAAAGTATTTGAATAAAACTGTGTTCATTACCACATGTTCTTTTCTGAATTGGGTATTTTCACCTTATTCGCATGGAGCTAATCAAGCCCTAATGAGGTGGCATTAAATTCGATCTCAGAAGGTATAATTTTCCAATCGAATCTAAACAATGCATGACGTGTAGAGTGACTTTCATAAATACACCATTGCTTCAGTTACTCCAGCTAGCAGGGTATGGGCAGAAAGAATAACCATTTTCCTTGTACAGTGGCGTCTGCGTGCGGTCAGGCTCTTCATTTCTCCTCGCCTTTTCTAGCCTGCTTCCAGGAATACAATGTCTGTTTAACATCCCTCTCAGGGCATACCGGAGGCCCCATCCATCTCCAGACGTCGGGTGGCTGCACAGCCGAGCATCTCATTATGGCAAAGTGAAGCATTCTGGGAGAGTGGATGGAGCCGGCAGGCAGCAGTAGGAAGTGGGGGAGGGAGGAGGAGAACAGGAGCTGAGGAAAATATATGCTCACTTCCTTGGTGATAACATGTCATGGAAGTAAGAACTTCCTGTTCTAGAAAGGAAGGGGATGTAGGATGCCAGAAGCCTGTGACTAAGCAGATTCCAGCTCCTACAACCTGGTTCCGTCTGCCTCGGCTACCACAAGCCTCCTGACACACCTGAACCCCCCCAGTTGAAGTCACCACAGAAGCCATGTTGTGGGAAGAAAGTAATGAATCCAAGTAGTTCAGAAAAATATCTATGGTTCCAAAATAGAAAAAGGAAAGAATTTGGAGGCGTGCACATACACGCGTGCAGGCGCGCACGCGCACACACACACACACACACAAATCACTGATTTACCCAATTGGAAAAGTATTGCCTTCCAACTAACCTGAATGCTTACACTTTAGTTTGTTATACTTCCTTCACCAAAGTAGGTTAAAGCAAATACCCTTAACATTTTGGGAGTCACAGGACCCCTTTAAGAAACATTGAAAATGATGACTCCCTGTCAAAGGCCTGAAATCTACCTATGTCCACCCCATCAGCCCCTATATTAAGAATTCCTAGATGAGACATTCATTTGCGTTTACAAGTACTTCCCTTTTAAAATGCAGACATTGAGGGACTAGTCAGTGGCTCTCGGTAATTTGTTGGTGAGAGAGGAGTTCCACACCCTCCTCCCCAGTCTGACTGTCGTCTGCCCCTGTGCTCAAATAATGGGAACTGGTGGGTGAGGTGAGCGGTTCCAGGCGGT